TTCCCAGGGTAATTGTTTAAACTACAGGCTCCCTGGTTTGTAGGTCTGGTGTGAGGCCCATGAGTAGTGAGCTGTATTATATCTGTATCTAACTGCCTTAGTGGTGTGAACACATAAGCCAGCTTCAGGGCACCCCTTGTGTGGTAAGAAACATGTTCCATAAAACACGGGCAGCCTGTATAGCTGGGGAGATCATGCCCCCTCCAGTCCCGCTCCCCACAGAAAGGTTACGTATTCCATGAGGCCTCTCCTAGATTATCCCCAACCTGCCACAGAAGTCTGTGACTCCTCCCAGATTTTGGCTCTGTAACTCCCATCACCACCTAACCCTTCAATCTACACGGGTTTTCCTCTCTAGGACTAAACCTGAGTTCCACAGTAGGGTGACTGCTCCTCTGGCTCTATACAGAGTATACTGGCTCTATACAGAGTACAGCACCTAATGACAGCTGCCATTTGTTAGGTAACCAAGGAACTAAATGGCAGTGGTACATGTGACACACAAGAATAAATGGTTAGTTTGGGAATGGACAAGTATCATGACCTCTAACAGGCTTGGTGAAGGTGGAACTTTGAGTCAGGAAAGGGCATTTGTAAACAGAGACCAACCCAAACCCATGTGCAAGTCCCCATAGGTCAGTGGGCTAAGAGAGAAACAGAGCAAACTCCAGCTGGGAAGACCTGTGACGGGGCACAGGAGCAAACTCCAGCTGGGAAGATCTGTTTTGCAAATGGGAAAACAGGCTCAGTGGCGCACTGGCTCATGCCTATAATCCTACCACTCTGGGAGGCCTAGGCAGACTGATTGACTGTTTGAGTTCCAGAGTTCAAGACCAGCCTGAGCAAGAGCAAGACCCTGTCTCTACTAAAAACAGAAAAACTGAGGCAAGAGGATCACTTGAGTCCAAGAGGTGGAGGCTGCTGTCAGCTATGATGATGGCATAGCACTCTACCCAGGGCAAGAACTTGAGATTGTCTTGGGCAGGCAGTGCCTGTGGCTCAGTGGGTAGGGCGCCAGCCCCATATACCGAGGGTGGTGGGTTCAAATCCAGCCCTGGACAAATCGCAACAAAAAAAATAGCTGGGTGTTGTGGCAGGTGTCTGTAGTCCCAGCTACTCGGGAGGCTGAGGCAAAAGAATCGCCTAAGCCTAGGAGTTAGAGGTTGCTGTGAGCTGTGTGA